GATTTGGCTGCACAAGACAGGCAAAATTCTACATTGTATTCGATTTTGGCTTAGCAGGGGCAAAGAAGTTGTTCCTGTAGAAATCAATCTCCGATAGGTCTGACTGAACCCTCTAGCTACGCAATGGCTGCCTTGTAACCGGTCTCAATGGACCATCGGTGCCGCCTTGATGTGTTAGAACTGTGAACAGAACCCGATTTAGGCAGAATCCAAGACTGGCTATTCCTTGGTCCTGATGGGAAGGCATTTACAGAGATCCCAGTGTCTCGCGTTTTTTGCCGAAGCTCGCTCATCGTTCCTCAAGCGCATTGCGCATGCCCTGTGCCATTTTGAGAGTCCTGTAGATGCCTCTTGGCCAAAGTTCGCGTGCGGTAGTAGAAACAGAAGAAACAAAGGACCAAAACAAGAGGCTCTAATGAGGAAGGGGACGGAGCGAATTATAAGGAGATGAAATGGGAGAGTAGGATGTTTTTAGTGCAGATGTTTCTAACTCCTTTCTTGCTAAGGAGGCAAGTAGGAGATAGTGCGAAGGTCATGTGTCAGTAAGGGGCTGGAATCAAGAATTAGGAATGCGAGAATCATCAGGAATTAAAGGAAAAGGACTTCACGCAAGTTTCTTGTTTCGCTGTGAGATTTTCAGAGCCTGAAAATTTGGGCCCCAGGCCCGCACGGTTTTGTTCCTGGGCCAGGGAACCACCTCCTAGCCCAAAACGCGTCTCAGTAGCTCAAGGCCTGTCACACCTTATGTGCATCACTTCCACCTTGTGCTTAGCTGATGTGGGATTCGCCTAAGGTGTCACACTATGTCTACAGGAAACTCCCCCTGGAAAGGAACGTCATTCATCACCTCTTCCATCTGAAATTTCTCCCCCTGAAGAGGTGATTGGGAAGGAAAATAAGACTCAAATTCCCGAAAGGTAACATCCATACTCACAAAATATTTTCTAGAAGGAGGATGAGAGGAGGATGGCATAACACTTGTGATCCTTTTTGAAGTAGCGAGAGTAACCAACAAACCACAGACAGCTTCAAAGGCTCTCAGGACTAATTTGCTTAGACGCATTCTGATGAAGCAAAAGCCAAACACACACCAAAGACTTTAGCAAAGTAGCATATGAAGAGTTTTTTTCCTTGAAGAACCTCTAATGGAGTTTTTAAAAAGATGTTGAAAGTACGGAAGAGGCAAGTGGAGCGAATTGATAAGGGTAAGAAAGGCAGTCAAAGATAGCGAATCCCAGCCAAATGATGGTTTTGGGAAAGATTCCATAGTGAGACATAATGAGGACACTACTACTTCCCGAGTAAATGGCCTATTTTTCTTTCCGCAAAACTTGCCATTTTGGAGCACTGTGAAGTTGACACAACTAGTTTGATGTATAATACCCATGTAGAATCTAATAGTACGAAAGCTGGCAATTCATGTATGTCAGTGACCGATTATCGAGTTTCTTGAGGATTTTTAACAATGCGCATCAAACTGAGTACAAATCATTCTATGGAAATTCTGAAAACGAAAAAACTTCGATTTTTTGTCTTTGCATCAAGATAAACCGCAAGTTAATCTAGTAAGCAAAGCAATCAATGAAAGGGTTGCACAAGGACCACCGTATAATCCAGAAAAAGAGAGACAGTTTTAGTAGGACCCGCACATACATCAGAATGAATGTAGGCAAAAGGGAATCCAAGCTTTTAATTAGTTATGTGTGAGAAGTAAGGAGATGGCCTGGTGTGTTGTTGGCAGAAGTTCACAAGGCATCAAACAGTACTAATGAATCGAGAAGTTTCAACACGACCTGGTAGCAAAGTAAAGTGGGAAATAAGTCCTAAGAAAGAAACAGAAAAAAAGAGGGATGTCCTAATCGTCCTATGGCGCCCCAATTTGAAGATAACTTCATGGGGAAGGATTTCTAAAGAAGGTTCCTAAACAAAGCGTTGGACCCGTACGCGACTTTTGAAAAGACGACAGAACGTGCGATCCAAAGTCAGATACAGTGATCGCGCAAGCTACCACTGCCAGAATTCGTCTCCCGGTGGTTCAGTTCCTGAAATATATCCAAATGAGGTAGGGTAAAAGTTAGACTTTGGCTAATTTAGCGCTTTTGGTGATTAAGCTAAACAGAGTAATGAGATTGTTTAAATAGGGAGATGCTAGGGACAAGTGAAGGAACAGAGGAGGAGTTTTAATAATTGGGAAGTGCAGTTAATGAGAACCTGTGCCGAGGCAAATGGGTTACTTGAAGGAGCCATCGCAATGCGAAATTTTTTCTGTGGCTTGATACTGTAGAAGGTATGTGAAGGAAATGTTTTATAGAGCCTGTTGTAATGTTTATGTTGCTCCTGAAGTCTATAACGCCAAGAGGGTTTTGCAATTTTTGCAAGAAAGGTAAGGAGAAAGCCATTACCTGAATTAGACGAAAATTAGAAGCTGCAGTCTGAGTTGAGGGAAGATCAAGCCTGTGAGCAGACAATCGTTTCAGGGACTGAATTTGTCCCTGTATCAGAAAAGCTACCAGTAGTAAGATGTTATCCTCACATGAAAGCTCCACCATGCGAAAGTATATGTGGGCGCGCTGGCAGTCTAGAAGACTGACGCCGCGTTTCCCCCTCACGCCCTTTAGTTGGGCGTCCAGTAGTTAATTTCCAGCCAGAACTCCTTCGTGTGCGCTGTGTCTTACCACAAGATAGTCCACAGAAAATAATTGGATTCGTCTGTTTGAAGAAGCCGGTGTTCTTTGGCAGGCCTTGGGTAGTATGTTTCACTTTGCAAGAAGTTAGGCAATCCACCCTGCTGTGTATCACATTGGTAGATCTGTGAACCATTGCAGTTTCGCTACTCGCTCGCTCCGGTCTCCCTCTTGCTGTAACAAAAGAAGTGATGCTTTGTCGCGATAGGAATGGAAAGGATCCTCGGTCCCAAGGAACTTGGAACTGCGAATTTGATCATAAGCTCGTTGTTTAGGCCAGCTAGAAAATCATGACACCACGTTCTACTTACATCTAACTTCTGATACTGAATGTTCGCACATCAGTGGACAGTTTGGCCTTGAAAATTCTTGGTAATAATCCAGTTCTTGGCCATAACCCACGTAAGATCAGGCGAAAATACTGAGCGAGTAGTCAAGATTCTCCCCTGTTTGGTTTCCGAATGAGACTTTCTGGGTCTGGCAATTCATACCTCTGAGCATAGTTTCCAAGTTTTTGCGAATTACGTCTGTGAAGCGGCATCCATAGTCTTCTTGAGCTGTATCAAGAAGCAAATAGCCTGTCCTCGGGAAATAAGTTGGGCTGCATGGGAATTTATTAGAACGCAAGACATAATGAAGAGAATTCTGCGGATTTCCATTTGTTTAGCGCTGGATGCTGTCGAACCTGGTTTAGTTGCGCCACCATCAAGGTATCCCTGCAAACCTCGTTGCTGTCAATGAAATAATAAGGGCAAAGATCGAGAACCAAGAGCCAGGGTAGTTTGTTTGCCATTTCCTAACTTCACCGGCTAATCTGAAGAGAAGGGGCCCTCTGAGTTGGAAAAAACCCATATCGTACGCTTTTTTTTTCCGTCCAGGTGCATATTGTCAGATGAAAAAAAATGTTTTAAGGCGGCAGTTGGCGAAAGAAGACTGGCAGCGGCGAAAGTCAACCAAAAGGAAAAGAATTGCAAAAAAGCCAAAGACCTGGTGCTGAAGGATAACGGCAAGCAAGGGAAGGAACGCCACAACAAATCGAGGCCGTTCGGAACAAAAAACGCGTCGAACGGGATCTCGGCCGCGGAAACCCTAGCGCAACACGCCGCCGGCGCGTGAAGAAGCGCCGAACTATCCTGGCGGCGCGCGTGTGGCAGCAGCGCGCGTGGTCGGACAGCGACCGCTTTGGATGGAGGGCCGAATCGGCAGTGGCCTCTTTCCTTCCTGAGCTGGGGGTGACGGCGCAAGCTCCTAACTCCGGCGGCCTGTGTATATTCAGCCCGCTGTTTAAAATCGGGACCGTCGCGAAAAATTCACATGTAAGCAAATGGGCTCTGATACCGATGTTGAAGAGAATGATTTCGAAGATGTTCTTTTTTTATGTGGTGTGGTTATATTTTCAATCTCTAACATGCACTGAATTATATATACGACAAGATTGTTTCCAATATAGGAAGAGATCTAAAATAGGAATAAAGCACTAATTAGGAAAGACAATAAACCTAAAACTAGGAAAGACAGATATTGATTTTAATTGACAAAGCTTTCAACAGTATCGTAAAATATATAGGAAGAGATCTAAATAGGAATAAACCTAAATTAGGAAAGACAATAAACCTAAACTAGGAAAGACAATATTGATTTTAATTACAAAGCTTTCAACAGTATCGTAAAATTTCGCCCCATATAACAGTCGAAAATATTTTGGGTCTCCAAATTTATACAGTATTGGAAATGCTTGCATATTTCCTTCTTCTCTCTCACCCACACACATATCTTTTCCCATGCTTCTTAAATAGAACTGGACTCGCTATATTATTCATTTACAAGACTTTGATGTGATGGCAGAAATCTGCAGTGTTCAACAGACTCAATAAAGGTGCAAAATAACTACAGCCCTAAATCCTAGACTATCAGCCAGATCCATTAGACAGCCAATTAATAAGACATGCAAGATGGTCAATCCTTGCCCAACTAAAATGAGGTAAACACATAAAAAACTTAAGCACAAAAAAATGCTGGCTGCTACAATAAAGCATGGAGCCTACAATTCAATATTTGAGTAATACTGAACAAAAAATAATAAACTTGCCCTAGAAATGGAGAAGCCAGAAGATTATAAATGTCAATGCAACAGCAAATTAACAAACCAGGAGATCATGCTTCAATCGGCTTGCAAATAATAATTTTCAAACGCAAACAACCTCAAAATATCATTTGAGGTAAACATTCAGGAAAGCAAGCAAGCACTGCCAAGCAGGCCTCAGTAGAAACATCCAAAAAAACTTAAGAAAATAAAAATTAGCTTGACAATGTTACCTTTTTCTCAGGAGCTTTTATTCCAAAAACCTCACCCATGGCAAGTAGCTTACTGGATTCCTAGAGAGAGCAAACAGGTATATATACCAATCATGCGGTCAGAAATGCAATGTTAATTCATTTTCATAAGAAATGTGATAGCTGAAAGCAAAATTTCACTTGCATCTATCCACAAACAAAAAAACCTTAAAAAAAAAAAGTTCAAAACATAAGAACATTTAAAAGACAACAAAAGGGCAAGTACTAAGGCAAAAAAAATGAACTTGGCATACATACAGGATGGTACTTCAAAAGATTGTTAATGATGGTAAGTCGAATTCTCTCTAACATATCTGGATCTTCAACCTTGCGCCCACTGTCCCTAGTATGATCAAAATCAATTTATAAATCCAATGACCAAAAAAAAAAAAAAAAAAAAAAAAAAAAAAAAAAAGAAAGAAAAAAAAAAAAAAAAAAGATTCTATAGCTTATAAGTCAGTGTATATAAAGACTTGCATGAAGTGGTGCCAAAACTAAAGCGGAAGAAAAAATGACACAATAGTCACTAAATTCTAATGTAAAACCACACTGAATTTAAAAAAAAAAAAAAAAAAAAAAAAAAAAAGATTCTATAGCTATTAAGTCAGTGTATATAAAGACTTCATAATGGTCAAAACTACGGAAAAAAATGACACATCTCACTAAATTCTAATGTAAACACACTGAATTTTTTTAATCTCCAAGTCAAAGAAAAGCAAGAAGAACCAATGCCAGAGCATAAAAAATATACTTTTTCCAACAACCAGAGCATAAGAATCCCAATAGTAAGGAAGCTAACAGTAAGGGAGCTGGTTAAAGTAGAAGGCATATGAGATAAATCGATGTATATTCATCAGATTTGATTCATGTATATGGTTAATAATTTTGTATGGAGACATGCAGGTTGAAAATCAATAGTTTGACAGACTGGACTTTGGATGAAAGCAAATGAGGAAACAAAATGAGTACCACTACAAAACAATGAATGAACCTGGACTTGAAGCGCAAGACATTGTAAACCATTTCACAATTTTAGGAACCAGTAAGAAATTTTTGCAGGTCATGCATGGGCTAAACTCTACCCTAGCACAGGCCAAAGATGCTTAAGTTAAAAAATAACTTACAAACGTGTAATGAAGCATTTTGTTTTCTTGACAGATCCTTCAGTGAAAACAGATCCTTTTACTACATCCAATCCCAATTCTTTCAAGGCCTTCATCTGCCCTATGATAAACCAAGAAGATTCAGAGACATTCTAATGTTATTAAAGGAAAGGTTAAATGTTAAATATACATTTTCAAAAGGAACCACAGTCAGAAGTATTTAATTAACAATACTTTTAGAATGAGAATTGCAACCATATGCTATCCACATTGGGCATGATAATGTATCTAATACCATTTGAATGTATATGCACTGGCAAAAGCCTCGAGAATGATTGTGCATGCAGCACTCTATCTTGTAAGGCTTTTTAAGGAAATTGAGAAAATTTGCAAATAATATGCGACTAAAGCACCATTTGCTTTATGAAAATATTTTAATAGAAAACCATTTTTTGCATTATCTTGCTTTTACTCTTTTCTCTTTGTTTTCTAGGTGAAGGTTAAGCAATTGCATTTCCATTCTGGTGTTTAGCGTGCATATAAGAATTAGTCAATGATAAGGCTTTTCTTAATAAAAAAATATGGAAAAAAAGCATCATTTCTCTAGTCTGGAAAGAAGTCATTTTCTGGATTTTAAGAAAATAAACAAGACAATCATATTGACAAATAACCACTAACCCAAGGTTTTAAACCTGGCCCAATGATCAAACTGGTAAAAGCAAACAGCCACAGATCACAGGTTAGAGGTTAGAGGTTCAATGAGGGCCAAATTGGGGTTCAACCAAAATTAAATTAAATATAAAGTTACTAATTTGAATTTAAATAAATACAATAATATATTATAATGAAAATGCATGAACAGATTGACTACATCAGAATGCGACTTTCTCAAGGCATTAATGTGTAATATTGCAATTTCTCATAATTGTAGTTAAACAAATGATTAATAAAAAGAAGAGTTTTGTTTGTCAAAAAATTAAGAAATAAAATAAAATGGCTCTTTTCTTTTCAAGTTATTATATTAGTGTGGCTTCCATTGAGTATACGTGATTATTTATGTTACATTTAAATGCTCACCATTTTGAAATGAAAGTCATTTTGTGCTAGGATTTAATAAGATTGACTTTCAATGTTGTATTAAGAACTTATTTTTAAATTTAGATTCATACTTCATAGATATTGTGACAACAGGAGAAATATCTTTTGGTTTTATACTTGATATTGTAACTATTATGTCAAATAATGAACAATTCATCATTTTTCTTTGGGTTATTTAAAATTATAAAAACACAAGGATGGAAGGAAGACAGTGTTAATCATTGAAAAAGATAAATATATTATTTGTACAAAATAGTTCCAGCAATCAAACTTGGTTGAGTGGAAAAAACACCTCAAATTTGCTTGGGGACACGAGTTTTATTCCTCAAAATTCTGAAAACTTAGCACCACAATTGTCTAAATGTTTTCCAAACCTGAACCCGACTGGTAGATGGACTGGTTTCCAGGTTTTCAAGTATGATTTTTCTGAAAACCTTGCACTAGCCTCAATCACTGCCAGGTGTCACTAGTCTTAGTTGGCTACCATAGATCTCTAATGACAAGACTACCATAATTTACTCTTTTTTTTTTGTGAGTGCAGATTTGGGGCTGGTGGGATTGTTAAAGACCACATTTCAGAATCAAGGATTGAGTGAGGAGGCAAAACTACTTTACCGTATCAATGAGAGCTCCAAGACGATCTCCAAAGCTGATTTGTACAATAGTTGCATCAGAATCAGAGTCTTGATCAATCAGAACTACGGGCATTGGAACATCATAAGCATCCTGTTCTGAGCTCTGCAATTAGCATTATACTGTAAAATTTCCTATAAAGGCCAGCAAAAACTATTGCTACACTATTCTGCTAAAACTGATGAACATATTTCATATGAAATGTGTATCTATACCAATTTCCAAATAGGTAAAACATAGATACTGAACTCTACATGGTAAATAGCTTTTAACTATTTCAGTTGGACAGGTATAATCCAAGTAAAAAAGGGTCAATTTCAAACCAAAAATAAAACTACCCTAAATACAGCAGCTTCATAACACTATAACTGCAATATATAATAAAAATGACTTATATAACTGCTAGATATTTAGAGGAAAAGCATAGATAAAAAAGGAGTCACACCAGAAGCCATTCCACAGTTAGCGGATGGATCTTATTACCGAAGAGATGAAAAGTTGAGATTAAGTGTTGTTACACTCAAGCATAAAATTTCGACCTCCATATTTATCTGGCCAATCATAAACGAGAAGCTACAATGCTAACTTGCAATATTGAACCAAAGACATCGTAGTTAACTTGATGAATCAATTGATAAAATATGCAGTAATTATGCATGCCTACACTTCGTACTTGCAATAACATGCCAAATAGTTGTGATATATAGGCAGTACAAAAATGGCAAAGCCACATACAACACTAGCAATCCACACAAAATGCAAAGCTGCATATGAATTATCAGAAAATAGAATGAGGATAAATGCTCAATGTGATCCCTAAATTTTTATTAGAAGTTCAATTTAGTCCAATATTAACTTTTGGACCAATTTAGGACAATTTACCCCATTTCTGGTAGAAAATAACAAAAACATTAAGTTTTCTACTTTTAAAATAATTAAATTTTTAAAAACAAGCTAAAAAATGTAAAAATTGAAACCGTCTATTTTTATGCCCTTTTTTCTTCTTCATGCAGACAACAAGGTTGATTTTTATTTTGTCTTTTTTCTTTATGTTTTGAACTTTTAAATGTTTTATTTTTTTCAGAATATTTTTAAATTAGACAATTTATTATTTTTTACCAAAAATGGGGTAAATTGATCATAGACTCAAAAATTGTGTCCTAAATTGATCAAAGAGTTAATTTTTGACCAAAATGTACTAACGATTTAATAGCTACCTTTGTAGCTCCATGATGTTTCAGTTTATGCTCCTACCCATTATCTGGATATACCAAGAACATCTAAAGAAAGTTCGAGGACTAAATTATGAATTTATTCATAGAATGATGCCACACTAGGCAAAATAATTGGGGCGGTACAAAGTTCTCCGAATAAGCAGCATTTTCCTTATGTAATATGTATTTCAACTCAAGTTAATAATGTTGAGGCTTTTCTTTATCACCACTGACTATCTAAAACAAAGACATCCCTTCAGAACTATTTAGGACATAGCACTTTCGACCTGAAAACTATGCACTTTTGAGGGAGGTCTTTGTGATTTCAAGTAATATCTTACAGTTGAAACAACTATCTATATCATTTGGTATTTACTTTAGAAGCCCAGCGAGGAGACTTTCAAAGGCATAGAATGAACATATATCCTATCAATAATTTCTAAAACATGAGGATAAACAAGATCTAAAGCATCCACAGTTTAATACCCAAAAACATTAATATATGAACAGTTAGTGCTTGTGTCATAATTTTTGTCCTCATAGTTTCTCCATTTCAATTACACATCTCAAAATACAGCAAAATATAAAAACTGTACCTACCATGTTCTGAAAGCACTGCTCTCATATACTTCCCATGCATCAGATTGCATCCCTATTTTGGTTGTGTAATAAATTATAACAGATGCTAAATTCTATGCAGATAGCATAGGAAAGAATAACTAAGGAAAAAGTGGGAAAAGTCAGCAATGAGCCCTCACAGCTTCTAAACTTAAATAGGCGACTGAAGCCATGTAGCTGTTCGACCAAAACAGAGGTGTATTGGGATGTCAAATTTAATCTCAGTAAACAAATACTCCTTCTGACCCATTTTGTTTGCATAGTTTAATAAAACACGCATATTAAAAATTTAGTCAACAAAAGTTATTTTGCCTTTTTTTACCTTTAACTTATTAAGATATTAATAAAAGTTCTTCATTAAATGATGGATCATAAAGGTTATGATGAGAAAAATAATTGTTTATATGTATAAATTTAGAAACCTTGCAAACATTTTGGAACATCTAAAAAAGGAATACAAGCAAACAAAATGGGACGGAGAAAGTATTATAAACATTCAAATGCTCTTTTATGATTGGGTGTTACCTCTAACCTAACTAATAGCAAATATATAAAGATGGTAGACAAAGAAGGGCCATAAATCACTAGCAATTATTGGGCACTGAATAAAATGATCACCACCAATTCTCTTCAGTTCACAAATATTATGTGAACTTGGTATTCTTCCTGAACAAATGTTTATGAGTGACAGCTTGAGCAATATAAATAAAGCAGAAGTTTTAAGGGGGAAGCCATTCCTTCCAAGAGAGAAAGTTAGTAATATACCTATTCAAGCCCCTCAAGAATCTTTTAGCTCATTACAGTTTATGCACAATTACATAAATTGTAAATTTCTTTGCATGCTTCGTGAGCGGGGTATATTCACGGTTGGAGTGCTAACCAAGGAAGATGTAGACCTAGAATCACAAAGAAGGAAGTTGTTTCAAAAGATCCACTGTTTCTTGACATGAGCGTGGACTCACTATGACCAAAGCATAATGGAAATAGAGAATTCATATAGCTGACCCCAACTAGTTTGAGATTGAGGCTTAGTTATACCTGTTGTAAATTCTTTTGCATCTCCCCACCAATGTATGAATTAAAACCAAAGATCATGAATTAAATTCACTTCTCAAATTCAATGAAATGGTTTCCTAAAAAGGATTTACATCAACTACTACTAAAGACCCCATTAAGTTTCTCTCAACTACATACATGTCAACCATACATCAACTTCAAACATCAAACGTTGATAACCTACATTTCAAGCACAACAAAAGACATCCAGAATCCCAAGGCTCAAATAGGAAATGCTAAACGACCTTAACATGATCAAAAGCACCATTTCTTGTGGCATGGGCTAGTACTTTTACTCCATTGGCATAGCTTAACATGAAGACTACGTTACCACAAATGTTTAATTAGACACAAACTTTTCTGCAAGATGATGCCTAAAAAAGCTTATCAAGTAAACAATAGAAAAGAATTCAAATTTAACAACTTTCATAGACTAGAATGTGATCATGTATTGACAAAGGGATAAAAAGAGTATCATAAGGTAACAAAACCCTTCAGCTCCTAAAATTGTAATATTAGGCAAAAATTATACAAAAAAACCTTTGGCTGCATGCCATCATTCTAATCAGAAGAAAAAAAAGGGTGGAATCAAGATTCCTATAAGAATTGGATATCAGTAATTCCTGCCAATCCTCCAGACATGTTAGCCAAGGAAGACATTGATAATATCATTCATGATCTGCTCCTTTAATATTTTATTAGCATTTTGCAAAATTTGGAACAACAAGATTAATACAGAAAAATAGAATAAATCCAAACATGTTGTAAATAATCAAACCATATGGTCATGCACAATGTTGCCTTCAAAATCATGACACTAACTACATATTGCATTATAATTAATAGTAAATGGTATATAAGCAAAAAAATCGAAGATAAATAAAACGCCAGTAAAAATGCAACTGACCAATGGTATTGAGCTTGCTGGATTTGTATTATTGGGGGAAGCATTCAAAATGCTCCTGCGGAACAGTTTAAATCAAAACTAAGCAGTAAACATAAAAACCATTAAGGATTCATCTTTTAGAAGTAATAAAATATAATATATCACTTAAAATTTTTCATTTCCTAAACAGTCAAACCCTGAAATCCAAACACAAGCAAACAGATAATTGATTTGCAATATTTTTAGTGATTAAGAAATCCAAAGCAAACTAAGATAAACCGCACTACTCAAATTCCGTACACAAACAGAAAACTCAAAAAGAGAAGAATAATAAGGTTTCCTTTTTAAATTACAGGCTTTACCTTTTTCTAGAGAAAATGACTGTGTTTTCGCGCTCGGAAAAAAACTTGCAGCGAATAGGAAAAGAATTCGAAAAGGATTCAAGAAGAGCAGGAGGAGAGATTTGAGAAGTGAAATACATGAAGTGATAACGATGGATTTGAGTGAGTAAAGAAGAAGAAGATACAAAATTGTGCGTCAAAGCCATAGACATGGAGATTTTCCAGAGTTCCTCTTTAACTCTGTTCGCTACCGAGGTAGTTGGCTTTGTAAGAGATTTTGGTGAAATGGAGTGCGAGATCAATCGTAGAGAAAGACAGAGAGTGAGAAAGTAGTACACACACGGTGTGGCGTCATCTTGCTGGGACCCATACGCAGGCGGTTGCAGTCTTGCAGAGTTGCAGTCTGAGTCGGATGGCATTTGTATTTATTCGAGAACAAATACAAATACAGTAACACCCCTTTCAGAAAAAAAAAATGTAGAATTATATTATTTATTTTTTCTTTTTTATTTTTATCATATATTTGAACTGAAAAGAAAATAAAGAAAATAAAGAAAAAAAAGAACAAAATTTTATTATTTCAAAAGATGATAGGGTATTTCTTTTTCTTTTTCTTTTTCTTTTTCTTTTTCTTTTAGTAATTATCAAGTAAGCAACAAGGATGTAACTTAATGGAGTTTATTTATTTTATATTCTTTTAATATATTAATTTTCTTTCATTAATCTTAAAATAAAGAAATTTTTAAAAAATGGCTTAATTAAGAAAATAATTCCAATTAAAATCATTAACAAATTTAAATTTTAGAAGAAGTTGACTTATAATTGGAGCAACATGGCAATTATAGAAAAGGGGTTTGAAAATGGGAAAAATTAAAAATAAAAAGCCGAAGTTGATGGAGAGATAATTTTATATTTATTGTGCAATCAGACCATTATAGAAGAGTCACGTACAGGTCATGGGTGGGACCTCTAAAGCACACATGGACTAATTTGTCGGTGTTTTATAATTTTTCCGTAACAGTGTCATTTTTTCATGCTTCCTCCGTTATTTTCTGTCCATTTTGAAGAGATTGGGATCTTGTGGGTCAGGGACGATTTTGCTGCAAATTATTCTTCCTCTCAAATTTTTCGAATAGTTCCCAAATTGGGGAACACTGCTTTCTATAATAATTTTATTTTTGGAAAATAATTTATTTTTAAAAAATATTTTATTTAAAAAATATTTTTAAATGATTTATTTTTTACTGGTCGCTTGTAATATTAAAATTAGTTAAAAGTATTAAAATTTTTAACTTTTAAAATTGTAAAAACATTTATAAATATTATAATTTTTGTATTTTAAAAATTTTATTGTAAAATATAAGAAAAAATTGTAAATTATTAAAGTCACTGGTGATCTATAGTGGTGGTGAACAGTGATTAATGATAGTCACTACCAGTGATTAATAGATTGAAGAATATGAATTTATAAAGTTATAATAAATTTTTCAACCTTTGGAAAATGTTTTCCTCTATCGAAATTGGGAAGTCATTTTCTTAAAAATGACTTAATTTTCTTTGATCAGGAAAATATTTTATATTCACTTATTTCCATAAACGCTTCAAATAATGAAAAATTGTGAAAAATATTTTCCTATAAGTTATTTAACATAAATAAACGGAGCCTTCATACTTAAATTTACACATGTATTTTCCGTGTAAAACTTATGGCATTCTCAATTTTCATTTTGAATTCTTACACTTTGATTTATAAAAAAACTAGCAATATCCCCATGCTATACACGGTTAAAAATACAAGTAAAATAAAATAAAATTGAAAGAAAAAAAATACATATATATGGTTTATAGATTATTGAATAAATTTTTTTTAGTATGTTATTAAAAAATATTATAAAGATATGTAATAGTAAAAAAAATATATCTGTGATTTTTTATTATTAGAGTAAAAATTAGTATATAGATATATGTTCAGAAATATGGATTAAAAATATTGAAATTTATAGAGATAAATAAAAAAAAGTAAAAATGAAAGGTAGTAAAATTCATTAATTTGATTTATTTTAGAACTAATGTAAAAAATAATTAACTCATTATTTCATTAAAATTCATGAATAAAAATTTATTATAAATAATTAAAAAATGCATAGATCATCAACTTATCATGTTATTTTCTCTACACTATAAGTAATCAATTATATTTAATATAATTTAATTTAACAAAAATAATTTCTAATTTTTTAATACAAAATAATGATTGTTCATATTATTAAAATTCATAAATTATGTAATTTATTTACATCATTAAAAGTTATATAAATTATTATTAATCAATTACATTTAAATCAGTTTAATTCAATCAACAAATAATTATAAATTAATTTATTTTCAAATAAATATAAAGATAAACAATTAAAGCATTATACATATCATTAATTTGGAATCCTATATGGCAACACCAGGGAAAAATCTGTCTACTATATATATATACTAGGTGAAGTCCCGCAAATTGCCCCGTCACTTTATTACCTCATTATATACCATGTATTTTTTTTAGATAAATAATATTACTCATTAAAAAATAAAAGATATATAGACTTGAAATAAAAGATTAAAAGTTTAAAACTTTTAAAATTTAAATATACACAAGTTATGACTTTGAGTAGTAACATATAAAATTGGATCATACATTACATAATAATATAAATTTTCATAATCAAACATTAGAACATTAGATATAAAATAAATGCTAAAACTAAATTGAAATAAATAAAGAATATGTTACATTTATAGATACAATTTGAAAATTATTATGAACTCATGAAGACTCTGAAATTAATAATCAATTACATATAGGTAAAGAATCAATGGCTATTTGTCTAGCGAGAGACATAGAAGCGGAAACATTAATAGGATAAGAAAAATAAAAATTACTTACCTATTACAATAAACCAAAGTGGAAGAAAAATATGAATACAAATTAAGAATTGAAAATATATTTATGATGGAAACTCATTTTACTCTAATAATTGAGCTTCGTTTAATTTTACGGGCATAACTTCGAGACTATTATGTAATACGAATGTATGATTCTTAGCGTTTATCTTGTTGGCACTATCTATTTGCATTTCAAAATTTGATTTGCAAGCCAATATGAGATAAAGTATAAATAATATTCTATTTATATAAAAAAAATGATCTATAGGCCAATCCGTAGATAAGTATATTTTAAAAGTCTTTATCAAAATTTTGTAAACAATAAAGTAATACTTAATTTGCAAGACCACCCATAAATAAGTATAAAAGAAAAAATAAATTATAAATTATTAACAAAGAATTTTTCAAAGTAAATGATATAAATGATTTTAAAGTGAAATTTTGTGAAAAAAAAAAAAGAAAAAGAAAATGCCGAAAAAAATAGGATACAACCCGTTTCTGAAATTTAATATATATATATAAACTAAAATTAAATTTAATTAAACAAAAATATAATAATCATATAAAATAAAATAAAAATAAAAATTACAGAAATGTATCACAAAGTAAGAAGGAAACTCTATAATTATAAAAAAATTAAAAACTAAAGAAATAGCAAAGCAATAAATTACTTACCTCGATGAACTTGGAATTGCAAGGAGAAAAAGAATCCTGCAAAAAAAAAAAAAAAAAAAAAAAAAAAAAAAAAAAAAAAGAAGAAGAAAGGAATTGATTTGAATTTCTAAAAAAAAGAAGAAGAAAAGAATTGATTTGAATTCTAAACCATTAGAAAATTTTGAAATTGAATCTTGATAATATAATATCAACTATAAATTAAACTATAGTAATCATAATATATACAATGTCAATATTTATATGAAGAGAAATCCTATTAACACCCATGAACACATTTTCAAGCAGATTTATTCATTTGGGAACTAATATTTTATCTAATTTTAGAGTCATTATAGAAAGCCAATTGATTAAAAAACTTGAAAATAAAAAATATCAGTGTTATCCCTTACGTCATACCTGTTTAAAGATCCCAAACCAAGAAAATAATAATCAATTTCATTTTATGTAAACAACAACTCATTCAAGTATATAAAAAAAAAAAGACTACGCATCAACTTGATAATGAAAATCTAAAATAATCTAGAAGAATAGAGAATTGAACCTGGTAGAAAATGAACAGTTGCTTCTTGCCATTACTAAGAGCAAATCATGAAAAGAAAGTAAAGTTGTTAATAACAATTTTAATTTAGTTTAATAATGGAGAATCAATAAATTATCGAGAGTGGAGAAAAACCAATAGAAGGAGGTTAGAGTTAAAAATTCAGCTCACCGAATTGAATAAACTCAACGGAATCAGCGTGCCACAAATATTAAAAGAAAAATGTATATACATTATTTGAGCTCTTGAATTTAAGTTTTAAAATATTATTCTGTTGTAGATAATAGATAAGATTTTATAATCAATCCAATTAAATTATAATAAAAATTAAAAATTTTATAAAAAAAAGAAAAAATGTTAACAAAATGTATTATAAAAATTAGAAAATTTGTAAAAAAGGGAAAAAGGAAATGGTGAAAGCACATAGTGCCCACTCAGCTTTATAAATCATTTTTTACTTCAGGATTATATATATATCTGTTGATATATTGATTGTATTTATTAAATATTTTAATTGACCTATTTAATATCTTAACTTATAAAATTAGATCGATTAAACACTTATTGTTGTTAGCCTAACTAAGTATGAAACAATTACAAAAAGTGAAGATGTCACAAAATCAATTTTAAAGTTCAGAGTGCATCAGATTTTTATTTTCCTGAACTTTAAGATTAAATTACGTATTCAGCCAAATAACTCAATATATAAATTCATCAATATACTTTTCATAAAAAATCTTTTGGCACATACAACTTTCACTTTAACCTATTGAACATGCTTGAACTTATAAAATTGCACCTATTAACATTTAAATTAATTTATTGAACGCCTCAACTTATAAAACTAAATCGATTAAACACTTGTTGGATACATGTAAAATGTGAAAATTATTGTTCTAAAAATTACATTAACCACATATTAAATCAATATTTTCATATAAAAACCAAAAATCTTAAATAAATTATTGTTGCTAGCGTGACGAGGTATGAGATTATTAAAAAAAAAAAATGAAATTCAAGATGTCACAAGGTTATTTTAAAATTTAGGATGCTATAAGGTTTTTTTTTGTTAAACTTTAGAAGGTTAAATTATGTATTCAGCCTGAAAATAAGCTATCTACATTTATAATTTCAAATACATAAATTCACTCTCGAATTTTTTTACTTTAACCTTTTGGCACCATTAACTTTGAAGGAGACCTATTATACCTACAATTATGGTAGTATTGTACACTTTTTCATAATAACAACATTTTTTAGAGTTTTTGACTTATATATATAAAATATATTGATTTAATGTGTGGTCA